TGGGTGTAATTCGAAAACCCATGCAGAACTGCGAGGTCCTGTTGTATAAAATGCTTTTTCAAGTTGTCCTTCCTCCAATTGCTACTAATTGTGTAATATTGTATTTTGCAAAAGCAAGACACTGAATGTCAGGCTTTCAGTTCCATTCAAAATCAGACTGCTTTGCATGTAAACCTTTCTGGCAGAAGGTGTACTGCTGGGGCCCAGGGAAGAGAGCTATGCAACCTTGGCACCTTCTATAAAGTTCCCTCTTTTTTTTCTTGGATGTTATTTTTCACATTCAGAGTTTGCAATGCAAAACTCTTTTAGAATAACATGGGAAGTGTCTGGAGTGGGGGTGACTATGTTATTATTATTTAATAAATTTAATTCATCCTCCTTTATTTCTAATTCTTTTGCCCAAAACAATCAGCACAAAACAGGGTATATTGAACTTTCTAAAAGTTTTCTCTTGAAATTATATGACTAAACAGAGAATATGGACAACACATGGATTAAGTTAATTTGAGACTCCATCCCTATTTTAATTTTGTAATTTATCCTTTTCTGCTTTATGGGTTTTTTTACATACTGAGTTATACTGCATTTTATTAACATTATGTACATACTAATTGCTTTGTGTTTCAGAATGCTAGTAATTGCTTTGTATATTAAAGTGATCCTTGTGAATTTGTGAATTATTGTCAAAAAGTCCTTTTTCTTACTGTAAAGTTTGTGGTATGAACTGTCATAACACCCTTTTTACACATTTATGTGCAGACACATAAACATGCTTTTGAAATCTTTTTGAGGTCTCTTTTTTCAGACATGGGAATATTTCTTAAGGGCTTAGTTCCAAATAGCCATAAAATGCAAATAAATAAATGCACTTTTAAAGAGGACATTCCTTGCAATATATATGTGCTACTGTTTGTATTTTGCTAATGGGAAACTGATGGAGTTGCATTTTAAAGAAACCATAGTGCTTGTCTTCCCAGTCTTTTCAGTTGCAAATTCTATTCTAGAATAACAAATTATGGTTGAATTATTGTATTGTTTTATCCAGCAGTCTCCAAGAAGGTATGTAGGCATAGTGTTTTCAAAATTTGACTGATCAGGGGTTCTTCTACTGAGACCTTTAGATTAAACATGTGTCACAAAGTAGTTCTAAAGTTTGTGCTCACTGGCCAGAAATTTGCATGATCAACTCTGAACAAACTTTCTAACTTCCTGTGACGGATTCCTTAAGCCATGAATGAGGAATGCATGGCTCTCTAGATGTCACTGACTAACTCCCAGATCTCAGCACACACCATGGTGGTTGAGGCTGATGGGTTAGGAGTTCAACAACATCACAGACTCCCCACCCCTGAGACATTAAACACTGATAAACAATGTACAAAGGGATCATTTAGCACCAAAAATTGACACAAACTTCTCTTAGCGTGCATCTACACTGTAGAATTAATGCCAGGATTACTTTTAATATATGTGTGTTATGGCGACAATTTTTATGCTTATATTTTGTTTTATTAATCTTATGATTATGTTGTTTTTTACTATGTATGTTTTGTGATGTTACCTGGGAATTGCTCTTGGATCCCTTCAGGGAGATGGAGTGGTATATAAATAAAGTTTTTATTATTATTATTATTATTATTATTATTATTATTATTATTATTATTATGGCTCAAGGATCTGGAATCCTGGTAATTGTAGGTTATTGAGATAGCAGCACTCTTTAGTAGAGAAGGTAAAACTACAACTCTATTGTTTCCGCAGCATAGAGCCATGATGGTTAAAGTAATGTCAAATTGCATTCATTTTACAGTGTAGATGCACTCTCAGGTGATGCCAGATCCCTTTGTATACTGTTAAATAAGTACATTTTATTGATTATCCCATTGGCCGTATCAAAACAGATACACATACAGTATAACATAAGTTAAAATAAACAAGCTGTTAACAAGGTCCCAATCTAAATCAAATATCTACATCACCTCTACAGGAGCCCCCGGTGGCGCAGTAGGTTAAAGCACTGTGCCGGCAGGACTGAAGACTGACAGGTCGCAGGTTCTAATCCGGGGAGAGGCGGATGAGCTCCCTCTATTAGCTCCAGCTCCTCATGCGGGGACATGAGAGAAGCCTCCCACAAGGATGACAAAACATCAAAAATCATCCAGCCGTCCCCTGGGCAACGTCCTTGCAGACGGCCAATTCTCTCACAACAGAAGCGGTTGCTCCTGACACGACAAAAAAAAAAAAAACCCTCTACAGTTTACCCCAATCGACTCTAAATATGCAGTTCTCATATTTAGGGCAGTTATGTATGCACCGGGATTGTGGCGCAGCTGGCTGAGTGACAGCTGATTTAAGATCACTCTGACCAAAAGGTCATGAGTTCAAAGCCAGCCCGGTTGGAGTGGGCTTCCAACCAGTTGTGTAGCCTGTTGTCGACCTTTGCAACCCGAAAGACAGTTGCATCTGTCAAGTAGGAAAATTAGGTACCACCTGGTGTGGGGAGGCTAAATTAACTAATTTATGAGGCCATAAAAAGACTCCAGCAAAGCACTCCAGCAAAAGCATGCGGGGGGGTTCAAAGGACTTCATCAGTGTCGCAGATGGATGATGAAAGCGACAGCTCCCCTGGCTGCCAGAAAAAGTTAAATAGCCTCTGTGTATATCTGTATACGTTGTATGTCAAAGTTGGCATTGAATGTTTGCCATATATGTGTTCATTTTAATCCGCCCTGAGTCCCCTGCGGGATGAGAAGGGCAGAATATAAATACTGCAAATAAATAAATAAATACTTTAGCATTCTGGCCAGCCAATACAAATGTAGTTTTATTGTATATTGTATACTGGTATTCCAGACCAATACCACTATGTCTTTTAACTCTACCCCTCGCTGATAAACACATTCTTAAAGCATGGAATTCTTACATAATAAAAAAGAGTATGTCCTGGGGCTCTTCCAGACAGGCCCTATATCCCAGGATCTGATCCCAGGTTTTCTGTTTAAACTGGATTATGTGAGTCCACACTGCCAGATAATCTGAAATAAACAGAAAACCTGGTATCCTGGGATATAAGGCCTGTCTGGAAGGGTCCCTAGTTAAAATATGTCTTCATGTGGATTTTTGAAATATTTTTAAACTATTGTTACATGCATTTTCTTGGAAACCCCATTTGTTTTATTTTGGATCATAGGTGGGATCTTAAAGTTTGTGATAGGTGCTTTCCTTTGTATAAACTACCAAATGCAAGCCAGATTAAGTGTGTAAATTAGTCTTTCCAAACAAATTGACTGCAAACTATAGTGACATTCTTTTCTGAGGAATTTCAAGCATCCCCTTTAAGTGAAAGCACAACCTCCTGGACGACTCACTACATGAAGAGCTAGGATGAAAGTGAGAAATAGTTCTTGGAGATGCAGTATGTCTCCAAACAGGAAAACCTAGGGCATGCATCACTACTCCTATTAGTTCAAATAATGTGAGGCATAAATGACAAAATGTAGCTCAATAGGATGTACTGTACTGCCAGCTGTGTAATATTTTTATTGTAAGCATCTTTATAAAAAGATTTCAAGAAAAAGCAACAATTGGGGCCTTATAAGGTTTGTCCCTGGATAATCTCACTTTGTTATAGAAGTGTCCCTATGAAGGTCAGCGTGGTTTCCCTGTTATTTGGAATGAAGAGAAAGGACACAGCATCCAGTGCTCCTGGTTCTAAAAATCCTGAACTCTCTCCTGCCTTTTTTCAGGAAATAACACATAGTTTATTATACAAATATTGTATTCTACACAATTACACAATGATCTTTTTCAGGTCAATGAGCATGGCAGTTTTTCATCAGGCTAGTTAAATGTTTGGACTGGATAAAAATATAATTTATCTGTCACAAACAATATAATAAGCTAGGAAAGAATACACATCTCCAAGAGGAATGCAGATGGCACACGGCCACAGTGTTGATTGATCAGATTGGCAATTCCGATTTAATCTGGTTTTTTACCAAGTAACATATGAGACTTGCTCCTAGGTCAGGCAACAGAATCATAGAATCATAAGAGTTGGAAGAGACCTCATGGGCCATCCAGTCCAATCCCCTGCCAAGAAGCATTCAAAGCACCCCTGACAGATGGCCATCCAGCCTCTGTTTAAAAGCTTCCAAAGAAGGAGCCTCCACCACACTCCGGGGCAGAGAGTTCCACTGCTGAACGGCTCTCACAGTGAGGAAGTTCTTCCTAATAGACTATGGGCTTCATTTCTCAAAGATGCTTTTAAGTCAGGTAAAGGGATTTGCACTCATGGAGCTGCCCTTAGAGACAACTCAGAAACTGCACCAGGTACAGCTACTTTGCTGACAGAAGCATCATGCAAAATCCAGTTTTAATTGCATTGACTCCCAATACATTTCCAGCCTGAATTCAAGGGGATGGCAATGGCATTTGAGCCCCTAAATGGTTTGGGACCTCACTAGCTCTGTATAGTGAGGTCCCAAACCTTCCTGACATTTAAGGTCTTCTGGAAGGCCTTCTTCTGATTTCTAACAGCAATATGCTATGCAAGGACATAGGAGATGGCCTTCTATGCTATGGCATCCCATGTATTGAGCACTGTCCCTTGGGAGACCTGACTGGCACCAACATTGCTTTTGATTGAAATCCACATGAAAAGTTATTCATGAAAACTTTTGCCACCTAATTTTACTGGAACCCTCCCATCACATGTTTTCAATTCATTTTAAACCATTTTGATGTCTTTTTTATTGCTTAATACATTTTTAGCATTTTACAATAAAATAAAATAAAATGGAGCCCCCTGTGGCGTAGTGGGTTAAACCCCTGTGCCGGCAGGACAGAAGACCGACAGGTCGCAGGTTCGAATCCGGGGAGAGGCAGATGTGCTCCCTCTATCAGCTCCAGTTCCTCATGTGGGGACATGAGAGAAGCCTCCCACAAGGATGATAAAAACATCAAATCATCCGGGCGTCATTGGCCGTCCTTGCAGACGGCCAATTCTCTCACACCAGAAGCGACTTGCAGTTTCTCAAGTCGCTCCTGACATGACCAAAAAGCCTTTTACAATTATTTTTATTATTTATTTTTAATTAAAATGGGTTTTATCATACGTTGCCCTGGGAAGAAGGAGGAAGTGAGGGCCTGCGTTTATGATGGTCCCTCACCAGTAGTCATAATGGATGACTTGTACAATTCCCACTATATAGCACTTAAGTATCTGCCTTTGCTTTAAGTTAACTAAGTATGTCAGAATGCATGGATTACTCAGCAGCACCCTGAGTGCATTCAAACAAAGCACAATAGGGAAAATAGAAACACTTTCAAGATATGCCCATCATTGTTTAAAAATGTCTAGTGCTATCCAATGGAAATGGCTACTGCTCCCTATCTAGGATGTACCCGATGGCAAGTACAAGTTTGGTACAGGTGGGATCATGTATGAATTGCTCCTTAATAGCCACCATGAAGGCCCCTCCATTCAGCAAAAGGTCCTAGGCCAGACTAGGTCTGACTTGTGGCTGTTGTATTCACTTGGGTAAAATATATTTCCACCATTAATGAAAAAGTTAATTTCTTGATTTTTTTCCCCATTGGTCCCTACTGCGGGCTGTCAAATGTTGTCCCTCCACAGTTGTCCAACTCTTGTTTCTGAAGCAAACAACTAAACAATTTCATTGCACATAATCTCGTAAAGTATTTCCTTTGCAATTGTCATTATCTTTTTTTGAATCACAAGAGTGTACTTGTTTTCACTGTTTCATTTCCACCTTGTCCATCAATTTATATTATTCCACACCAGTGGAAATCAGAAATAAAATGTCATCATTGTGAATCTAATTGGATTTTGTGCTTACTCTGCGCCAAAGTGTGTTCTGCTTCCTGCATTGGTGCCAAATTTGTGTCTGGAAATCATTCAGAGTCATGTATAATTCGGTTAGTCTGAGATACTACTAGCAATTATTTTTTTAAAAAATCAGTAATGGCTGGGATTCAGTTAATTCTTTGCTCCATGTATACTGAGGAGGTGATAAACCGTAGAAATATTATTTTTACTACAACTCCCTGGGTGCTTATCCAGACAACAAGCTGTCTTGGGGATTCTGGGAGTTGTAATCACATGATCAAGTCGACAGGCATAAGCTGGCAACAAATTCACAACTGATCCAATCACAGATCTCTGTTCAGGACATTTCTCTGTGCTTTAAATATATGCACATCATGATTGCTGTCATAGAACACCTCATGTACGGCAAAAAGTCCCTTCAGCATCTTCAGGAAATTCTGGTCCCGTTCATAGCGGAGGCGGCATGATAACAGGATCACAGTCTGGTCAGAGCAGAGATGGTCCAGCGTCTGGAGAAGAGCATCAAACGTTTCTTCCAGATAAACTATATCTGCACCCAAAACTACATCATACCCTCCTGGAGAAAAGCTCGCTAAATCTTGTCCCCAAGTCAGTTCTTTGACCACTGCTCTTGTCCGGAGGTCGGTGGGCACATTGGCCCCAACGTTAGACTCCAGGAGTGCCAAGGCCGCCTTTCTGTCTGTGATGGTGACATGGGCACCTAATGTGTAGCCCCCAAAGAGAAACAGAGAGTTAACACACAGCTTTCCAAAGGTACAAAACCACACAAACCACTATACTTAATCACACATGAATAAAGGTGGTGGACTTTTCGTAAAGCGTTGACAGTGGTCAATGCATAGTCACATTCAGCAAAACACCCTAGACAAACACAATCTTGATATTAAGTGATAGCTAAGGCCCTAGTCCAGGGGACCTCAAACTTTTTAAATAGAGGGCCAGGTCACAGTCCCTCAAACTGTTGGAGGGCCAAATTATAATTTGAAAAAAAGATGAATGAATTCCTATGCACACTGCACATATCTTATTTGTAGTGCAAAAATACTTTAAAGAATACAATAATTAAAATGAAGAACAATTTTAACAAATATAAAGTTATTAGTATTTAAATGGGAAGTGTTGACCTGCTTTTAGCTGATGAAATAGGATTGTTGTTGTGTGCTTTCAAGAGATTTCAGACTTAGGTTGACCCTGAGCGAGGGCCGGGTAAATGACCTTGGAGGGCCGTATCCTGCCCCCGGGCCTTAGATTGAGGACCCTTGCCCTAGTAGAATGCCTCTCCCTGCCTGTCCTTTCATACTTATGCTGATGCAGGACACTATCCTGCAATATAGTGTAGGAATGTAGCATTAAACATAGCAAGAAGCAATGCCACACATCAACAACCATAGCTAAAGATTTCAAGAGATACTACATGCACCCATTTTCACCTAGGTGGTGAAACAAGGGAAGTTGCAGGGATGAGAGGTGTCAGCTTATTGCACACTTGGTCAAAGGGCAAACCCAAAGAACCCTCCACATTTGCAGATCTGACTTATGCAGATTTGAGTAAAATGTGATCTCTCAAAAGCCCTGGGTCTTCTTGTGTGACTCTATGGGTCAACTTCTACCAGAAGTTGACGACAAAGTCAAGCTGGGGGACCAGAGGTTCCTATAGAGAACACCTGTAAGAATCTCTAGGTCCTGAAATCTGGTGGACTAGAGATTCCTAGAAAGATATTATCTCGGGTCAAAACAGTGTTTTCTCATTCTTGGTTTTTCCACTTTCATGCCAGTCCTGTGTCTTTAACCTCAGCAAATATGGGGAGCTAGCTGTATATGCCCCGATGCATTCATCCCTAGAAGACCAACTATTATCTGGCACAGTATGACTACCATGTCTGTGGGGGTTACATTTGATTGTTAACTATAAATACAGAGCTTCCACAGTTATGAGACATTAGTGCAACTCAATATCTCATAACTGCTAAACAGGAAGCCAGCTTTAACAAAAGAGTGGCAAAGAATGGAAAATAACTGCCTGCCCTTCCACCCCCACTTCCACAACAATAATGAAAGCAAGTAATTTAGTGAACACAGCTTGAATGCCTAGCTCAGAATCTCTGTCTGATATGGAAATGAGATGAAACCCCAACATTGGCTCCAGTTCCCCAAAACTCACCAAGCAGCGCGGCTACAATTCCCAGCAAGCCAGTTCCAGCTCCCAACTCAATCACCAAACGCCCTTGGAGATCAATGCCTCCCATTTCCAAGAAAGTACACAACACTACAGCCTGGACAAGAGGAAAGAAATAATGCAAGGTGTTGTTGTTGTTATAATGATGATAATGTTTGTTAACAAAGCAGACTCAAAGTGAAAGCATTTCAATACAATGTAAAATCCACAAATATTTGGCTTCCCCAGGAAGAAGGGAGCTTCAGAGTCGAGGGGCTTCCACCGAGAAGGAAGATGCTCTCTCTCTCTCTCCTTCCCACCAAGCAAGTATTAAAACAAATTATTTATTTACTTACTTACTTACTTACTGTATTTGTATACTCCCTTTCTCAGCCCATAGGTGACTCAAGGCGGTCAACAGGGAAAAATTCAATGCTTACAATGTCATAAATACAATTAAAAATATAACATATAATAAAAACTAAACAAATCAGTAAAATATAAATTCATAGTGTCTCCTTGTTAAAAACGTTGCCTGGACTCATTGTCTAGTTGTTCCATTTTCGTATGTCAGTTACTCTGCATTTGCAAACGCTTGTTCAAAAAGAAACGTCTTGACTTTTTTCTGGAATGTTATAAGGGAGGTGGCTGATCTAATATCCATAGCCGAGGGGCCACCAACGAGAAGGCCCTGTCTCTTGTCTTCGTCAAACGTACTTGAGACAAAGGCGGTAGCAAGAGCAGGGCCTTCCCAGACGATCTTACAGTACAAGATCCAATACAGAATTTTCCCCCTGGCTCTTACTGCTACTAATCTTCATGAAACTCCCATATGGCCACGGTAGTACATGCTCTGGTTACATCCCGTATAGATTACTGCAACGCGCTCTACATGGGGTTGCCTTTGAAGACAATCCAGAAGCTTCAATTAGTCCAACGAACGGCAGCCAGATTGCAAACAGGAGCGGCCTCATGGACTAACCAAATCCTATGAAGAATGGTTGAGGGAATTAGGTATGTTCTCTCTGGAAGGAAAAAATCAGTTGAGACCCCTTCCGCACAGCTGTATAAAATCCACATTGAACTGGAATATATGGCAGTGTGGACTGTTTTGTCTTATGTCTATTATAACAGGCTGTGCTTTTTATTTAATTTTAGTTTGTTAAGTTATAATTCATATTTATATGTTGGGTTGTATAAATTTTGTTAGTATGGATGTATTGTTGTTGTATTCGGGCCTTGAATGTTTGCCTTTTATGTTTGGAATCCGCCCTGAGTCCCTTTGGGGAGACAGAGCAGAATATAAATAAATTATTATTATTATTATTATTATTATTATTATTATTATTATTATTATTATTATTTATAACCCAGTTCAAAGCAGATATTGTGGATTATCTGCCTTGATATTCTGGATTATATGGCTGTGTGGAAGTCCCCTGAGAGATGGTAATACTGCCACCATCACGTATTGGAAAAACCCGCCACATGGAGGAGGAAGAGGAAAATAAATAAAATCAAAGTGTTTTCTATACTTCCAAAAGGTAAGGCTCCGAACTAATGAGTTCAAATTACAGGAAATTAATTAAATATTAGGACCATAGAGTACCAGAAGGTGGTAAGCACTTCTTTGTCTAAAGTCTTTAAGCAGAGGCCAAATATCAGAGATGTTTGTATTGTTGAAGGCTTTCATGGCTGGAATCACTGGGTTGTTGCAGGTTTTTTGGGCTATATGGCCATGTTCTAGAAGCATTCTCTCCTGAAGTTTCGCCTGCATCTATGGCAAGCATCCTCAGAGGATGCTTGTCATAGATGCAGGCGAAACGTCAGGAGAGAATGCTTCTAGAACATGGCCATATAGCCCAAAAAACCCGCACAACCCAAAGATGTTGTTGTTGTGGACTTCTTGCACACTAGAAGTCCCTTCCAACTTTACAGTTCTATAATTCGAGAACACCAGTTAAGACTAAGGCTCCTTCTACACTGCCATATAATCCAGTTCAAAGCAGATAATCTGGATTTTATATGGCAGTGTAAGAAGGGGTCTAAGGGAACAGCATGGGCCAAGTGGTTTCTTCATGAGACGAGTCCGGCTTTCTCAGCCAGTCCTGTCAACTGCGCTATGCTGCTTTTGCTTCAAGCAGTACGTGGATCCAAGTTACCAAATGTATATGACAAAACAAACCTACCGCATCCCATACCACTGCAGCTACACCCAGCTGCTTCCAGTCCTGCTTGATCTGGATGGTGTGGTTAGCAAAACTGTATACAGAAGAAGACTGGTGTAGCTTTTGCGTTCCCCAAAGAGCTGAGTCGTCATAAGGAACCAAGGCCATCTTCTTGCCTATCAAGCCAAAGAGAAAGAAAAGGAAGACTAAGTGAGACTCTAGTTGGAAGAGTCAGTTGAAGTGCTCTCTCTCCTTCAATCATGCCAGTTTCCCGTGTTTTTATGAGACCCAATTAGGAGTGACATTTATAACCTAGGAACAAAAAACATGTTACTATCATTTTATAGTATTATCATGTTATAGTATTATCTATGCTTTCATGCCTCCATACAAACTCCAGTGACATACCCCTTTCTCCCCTACAAACAATCTGGCCCATCACTAGCTCATCCTGATTTTAGTATTTTTAGTTTTTATCTTGCACATGCGGCCTACTCATTGTTATGTTATTTTACTGTGTATGATTTTGCTTTATCGTCTTTGTACTCGTATGTTGTATGTATTTTACTGTTGTTATTGTGTTTTGGTTTTACCTTATTGTAATATGCTGTCAGGCTTGGCCTCGTGTAAGCCGCCCCGAGACCCCATTGGGGAGATGGTGGCGGGGTATTAAATAAAGATGATGATGATGATGATGATGATTATAGTACTGTATACAAAAGCAGTCACTGTTCTGTCGCTGCTGGGCTTGAAACGAAGAGCCTTTAAAACAGGACATGCACCTTTTGGCCCAACAGGAAGCCAGGAGGCCCGAAGAGAAATTTTGAAGGATTTTCACCATAAACAGGCTTTAGAAGGCTTGTGAACTAACAAAGTTTTATTGGTGAACAATCAACAGAAATTCCTTTTGTCTTCAAAGGCTTAAACAAATACTTTCAGGCTTCAAACAACTGGTGGCTTCTAATTGATTCTTTGCTTTACTTTAAAGGAAAACCCCTTTCTAAATTTCTCCCAGGCTAACTATTAACTTAAACCTTATTGATGTGGATTCACTACCGGGCTGAACTGCGTCTCAACGCCGAGCGAACCTATCAAAAGGCTTGTAATCACTTAGCTGGAATCCTTGATGCTTAAAGCTGTTATTCCCTCCGGAATTCTTCAGGGCTGTAAAGCTGTTTCCCTGAAACCTTCGAGAATCTTTAGATGATCTTAAGACTGGTTCTCCCCCGGGAGGTCTTAAGGGTCGAAGCCTTTTTACAGGAGGAAATCTGTACACATCCTGTACATTGACTTCCCTGTAGAAAACTAACTGAAATGGTTCCTCCCTCTTCCCAAAACCCAGAAAAAGGGGCGGAACCAAAGCTAAATGAAGATGGACAGGGGGCTTGCCCTATGACTGTAAACTATAACAGGAAGCCACCTTGTTGCAAAATCTCAAGCCTGAGATTGCAAACAAACCTTTAGTTCAAAGCAAATAAAATTGGAGCTCCTGGAACAGCTGTTCCAGAACAGTCACATCTGATAGCATGATTCAACAGCAGAGGCTGGGTGGCCATCTGTCAGGAGTGCCTTGATTGGGCAGAATGGGGTTGGACTGGATGGCTCTTGCAGTCTCTGGTCCTAAGATTATAGAGCCCATTTTAATTAAACTGAACATTTTGGACAGTTCATGTATCTCTGAAATATGTCCTTGTACAAACAGAGGCTGGGTGGCCATCTGCCGGGGCTGCTTTGATTGTGCATTTCCTGCATGGCAGGGGGTTGGACTAGAAGTGGCCTCTTCCAACTCTATTATTCTATAAAACAATGGAACCCTCAGAACTGCAACAGAAAACAATGCATAATGCAAATATTCTGTTTAGGAATATAGTACAATATAGTAATATTTAATACTGATATTGTACTCTGCTAATAATATTATTGTATGTATAGAATCATAGAATCAAAGAGTTGGAAGAGACCTCATGGGCCATCCAGTCCAACCCCCCTGCCAAGAAGCAGGAATATTGCATTCAAATCACCCCTGACAGATGGCCATCCAGCCTCTGCTTAAAAGCTTCCAAAGAAGGAGCCTCCACCACACTCCGGGGCAGAGAGTTCCACTGCTGAACGGCTCTCACAGTCAGGAAGTTCTTCCTCATGTTCAGATGGAATCTCCTTTCTTGTAGTTTGAAGCCATTGTTCCGCGTCCTAGTCTCCAGGGTAGCAGAACAAGCTTGCTCCCTCCTCCCTGTGGCTTCCTCTCACATATTTATACATGGCTATCATGTCTCCTCTCAGCCTTCTCTTCTTCAGGCTAAACATGCCCAGCTCCTTAAGCCACCCCTCATAGGGCTTGTTCTCCAGACTCTTGATCATTTTAGTCGCTCTCCTCTGGACACATTCCAGCTTGTCAATATCTCTCTTGAATTGTGGTGCCCAGAATTGGACACAATATTCCAGAGGTGGTCTAACCAAGTATATATATCTTGTAAGCTGCTCTGAGTCCCCTTCGGGGTGAGAAGGGCGGCATATAGATGTCATCAATAAAATAAATAGATAGGAAGACAACCTATACAAAAAACCAGGAAGTCCCAAGCTTATATTTGGCCTATCAATGTTTAGTCCATAATATTAGATGATTTAGCCTAAGATTTAAAACTGTTTGCTATCTTCTAGCAGACAACTAGCATGCATATCTATCTAGAGATGTCATTGAGGAGGTTGTACATAATGAGCAAGTGCATTTCCATTGTTAGGGTTCTTTTTGACCCCTTCATATCCTCACTCAATCTGAATACAGCACAAATCGCTTATGAAATCTTTCTAGCCACAGAGAATAAGTAAAAGAAGATCCATTTGCAGGGAATATTTACAAACTAGCAACGCAGGGCAAGCTTGAGTACTTAACACAAGATTCACAATCTAGGAGACTTTTCAAAATTCTGATTTAACCTATACCGGATCAGCGTTCAATTTTTCGCCCCGCCTCCTCTGTCTCTCTGCGCGCGGATTGGCGCCAGAGTGCGGGGCTCGCGCTGGCATGCTCCAATAGGAAAGGCGGGTTCGCATGCCTTTGCCCCGCCCACCCCTTATAAAGGCACACCGCTGCGGACGCTCGCGACTTCACTGTAGGGAGAATCTTTATCCTATCTTCCCTCTCCGCCCTCCGCGTTGCCATGGTTACCAAGCAGATGGGAGCGGGATTCTCCTTCCGAACAGGAACGAGGCTCTTGCCGTATGCAGAACAAAGTTCTCGCTGGCGCATGCGCACTGGAAGGATTAAAAATTCCTGCGATTTAGAAGACTAGCGTTAGCGTCGCTCTATCTTTTTTTTCTCTACGAATCGAGGCGGAGGAATAATCACAGCGCCACCTACTGGTCGGCGGATGCCGTTGCTTTGTTTGATGGCCAAGGAGTTGAGTTTGTAAAACATTCCTAATTCAGGACCAATGCTTGCTTTTGCTATTCAGGTGGTGAACACTTGCACCAGATTTATCAATTGTTTTGGAATAGGAAATTTATTTATTGAATATTATTATTATTGTTTATGTTATATTATTATTATTTCCATCCTACTTTTTCCTTTCTTTTAAAGAAACTCACAGAGAATATATATTTGCAGCAAAAACAAGAAATATTCCTAGCCTTTAAAACAGGGGTTGGAATTGTGCAGTCCTCCTGGACAGAAAGTTTTCCAGGCTGTATGGCCATGTTCCAGAAGTCTGACTTGGCCACGGTAGTCCATGCTCTGGTTACATCCCGGATTGATTACTGCAACGCGCTCTACGTGGGGTTGCCCTTGGAAGACTGCCCGGAAGCTTCAGATGGTCCAGCGCTCGGCAGCCAGGTTGCTAAGGGAGCGGCACTCAGGGAGCATACCACTCCTCTGTTGAGCCAGCTCCACTGGCTGCCAATCCGCTACCGGGCACAATTCAAGGTGCTGGCTTTAGCCTATAAAGCCCTAAACGGTTCCGGCCCTACTTACCTCTCCGAACGCATCTCCACCTATGAACCGACTAGAACATTAAGATCGTCTGGGGAGGCCCTGCTCTCGGTCCCGCCTGCATCGCAGGCGCGTTTGGCGGGGACGAGAGACAGGGCCTTCTCAGTGGTGGCCCCTCGGCTATGGAATGCCTTACCAGCAGACATCAGACAGGCATCTTCGTTGCTGGCGTTTCGGAGAAAGGTCAAGACTTGGCTTTATGAACAAGCGTTTGGTTAAAAAGTGCAACTGAACATAGGAAGACGGTAAATGGAACATAGGAATGGCACAAGGATTATGAGAACGGATCTGATTTCATGGAGGCGATGTTTGATTTGTTAATGGTTGTTGATTGATGCTATTGATTTTGTTGTTATATTTGTTGTGTTTTAATTGCACTGACATTGTTGTGATAACCTGTACCATGTAAACCGCATTGAGTCGCCTGTGTAGGCTGAAAAATGCAGTATACAAATAAAGCAAATAAATAAATAAATAAATAAATTCTCTCCGGACGTTTCGCCTGCATCTGTGGTAGGCATCCTCAGAGGTTGTGAGTGTTGGAAACTAGGAAAATCGGGTTTATATATCTGTGGAAAGTCCAGGGTGGGAGAAAGAACTCTTGTCTGTTTGAGCTATGTGTCAATGTTGCAGTTGGCCACCTTGATTAGTACTAAATGGCCACTGGTGCTGTTGCAATATATAATGGTGTTGGACAACTGTGTCCCTTATATAAAATGGCAACATCAAGATTTGCTTTTTGGATTTCTAAAAGAATACATTTTCAAGCTATTGATGTTGAAATCTATAGATGCATATGGAAGGCCAACTGTATATGCAGGCACAGAGCAAATATTTGTTGTATAATACCAAAGTTAAACATCTAGCATTATACTGGCTTCCTACACAATACAGTACCCCAGTGGATGCCTGAAATCACAGATAGTACCAAACCCATCCATACACACACACACACACACCTTGTTCTATACATACATATCAGTGATGTAAGCAGAGCCGGCCCTGGGTAATTTTCAACGGTAAGCAAACAGTATTTTGCCCCCCCCCCCCCCAACCAATTACTGATATATATTTTCTGTTTGTCGTGGGAGTTCTGTGTGCCATATTTGGTTCAATTCCATCATTGGTGGAGTTCAGAATGCTCTTTGATTGTAGGTGAACTATACATCCCAGTAACTACAACTCGCATATGTCAAGGTCTATTTTCCTCCAAGAGCGCCTCAAGAGCGCCCCTGGGCAAAATCAACTATACTGCAAATGCTTACTTTGCGTAATGGGTTGAGCCGCCCCTGGATGTAAGTGACTAATGGGTGGCTAGAGTAGACAACATATTGGACAATGGGATGATTCATGTACAGTGCAAGATGGTACAAGTAGTCTTTGCCTAAAAAAATAAAATCATGCAGTTTTCATAGGTTGACAGGCAACGTGAAGCTACACACATATACATGTGGATATGCACGTGATTCATAGTGAAGGCAATAAAGTAAGTGATCTGTGAGGAAGGGCTGAGAATATGGAATGATGGATGCGATTGTCTGAATGTTAGAAGGGATATTTAAAAAGACCAGTGGAGGTCAGAAATAGAAATATGTCTTGGGAAATGTGAGTTATTGAACTTCATTCACACTGGATGTTTTAAAAATCTTTAAACTGTGTGCCAGACTTCTGTTCAGTAAATTATTTTGTATTGTCGAAGGCTTTCATGGCTGGAATCACTAGGTTCTTGTGGGGGTTTTCGGGCTATAGGGCCATGTTCTAGAGGCATTTTTTCCTGATGTTTCGCCTGCATCTATGGCAAGCATAGATGCAGACCGTGCAAAAAGAATCTGCGAACCTCACCTCCTCCAAGATGAACTGAACCACCTCAACTGGGCTCTCCAGGCCAATGGATACTCCACCTCAGACATCAGAAGAGCTGCAAGACGGAGAACAAGCCACGAGAATAAAGACGAAGATCCACCCAGAGGAAAAGTGTTCTTGCCATACATCAAGGGAACCACTGACTGCATAGGGAAGCTGATGAGGAAACACAACATACAAACAATCTACAAACCCACCAAGAAAATCCAACAAATGCTACGTTCAGCAAAAGACAAGAGGGATCCTCTCACCTCTGCAGGAGTCTACTGTATACCATGCAGCTGTGGACAAGTCTACATAGGGACCACCAAACGCAGCAGCATTGCCCAAACATGAATCAAGGAACATGAAAAGCACTGCAGAATACTTCAACCAGAGAAGTCAGCCATAGCAGAGCACCTGATGAACCAGCCTGGACACAGCATTTTATTTGGGAACTCAGAAATGCTGGACCACTCTCACAACCTCCATGTCAGACTACACAGAGAAGCCATTGAAATCCACAAGCATGTGGACAATTTCAACAGAAAGGAGGAAATCATGAAAATGAACAAAATCTGGCCACCAGTATTAAAAAAACTCTAAAATTACAACAGCAAAACAGCAGAGAGGAAACAACCAGGCACATCTTAACACCTCTCAACAAAAGATTCCCCCAGGCTCAGCCAGGCCTTCAAATGCTAATGGTGGTCAGTTGAAACATTCACACCTAGCTCCAGCAGAGAAGACTGAGGATGCTTGCCATAGATGCAGGCGAAACGTCAGGAAAAAAATGCCTCTAGAACATGGCCCTATAGCCCGAAAAAACCCACAAGAACCTAAATTATTTTGTACTATATATTTATGTCTCTGCATAAGAATCATTGGATTGCTTGCATTCAGACACATGGCATCTGTGGTGGCAGCAATTATTAAAGAATGGCTGTGTCTAGTGGTGGTGTTAGACAAATAAAGTCCCACATAGGGACCATGAGGCCATCTAGATGCCCCCACATCTAATGACATAGCAGTGAGACAGGAAAAAGTATTCATATTTGGTATCAATTGGGGGGCAGATAGAAAAAACTCACAATTCGAGACAGAGGTGAAGTAAGTGGAAGTCCTCATAGTAATCCTTTTAATCTATTGTCTTATTTCCTTTTTCTCCTGCAGATGACATAGAAAAGCAGTACTCACAATTCCCACTATTTTTTTTCATAAGTAGGTTTTATTTTGTTTTCAAAGGAACAAAAAAATCAAACAAACAGTCCAAAAAGGGGAAAAATAAGGATATAATGTGTGAATTGCGGAGCCATTTTAGTTAATTAGTTCTATACATAGGTTTAGTTCCCGGTGGCGCAGTGGGTTAAAGCACTGAGCTGCTGAGCTTGTTGACCGAAAGGTCACAGGTTCAAATCCAGGAAGCGGCATGAGCTTGCGCTGTCAGCCCCAGCTTCGACCAACCTAGCAGTTTGAAAACATGCAAATGTGAGTAGATCAATAGGTACCGCTCCAGCGGGAAGGTAACGGTACTCCATGCAATCATGCCGGCCACATGACCTTGGAGATGTTTACAGACAATGCCAGCTCTTGGGCTTAGAAATGGAGATGAGCACCACACCCCAGAGTCGGACACAACTGAACTTCATGTCAGGGGAAAACCTTTACCTTTACCTTTTATATATAGGTCTATTGTATCATCAGAAACATCGAGGGATGGGGGGAATTATCATACACATTCTTTAATATAGGAAGGAAGTGAAGTAAAGGGAAAAGGAAAAATTATTTTACATCTTTTCTGACAAGAGTATGAAATTGTCATTCTGGATCTGCATTAGTTTATTTTATCTTCTTTGTTTTCCCTTCTTCTCTTCTAACTCTGTGTAATATTCCTTCTCCTTATTTTATCAGTTAACAAATTTGAACCTACTCAACTTTTTTGTTTAATGTCTTCCCACGTAAGCATAGCCATGTTGCTTACAAGGTGATTCACCCACAACTGCTACAGCCAATTCATAGCGCCACAGAATTGCAAAGTTCTGTTTTCTTTCTGATTGGTCATACAATCAACCAGACTGCATTTTAGAGACGTAAGCAATTCTGAGGCTTCTTGGGTTAGTGTATGGTCAGTGAGTCAGATATAATCCTAAACCTCTAGGGCAAATTAGGCAGCCATGCCATAAGGTGAAGACAAGTCCCAACCTACTGTTTTGCTTTGCCAGCAAAAAGCAAGGATACACTATTCATCTCTGGTCTTGAGACAGATTCATGCTTTTGCAACAATTACTCAAATAATGATTTGGAAAGAGCACAGGTGAGCTATAGTTGATTTTGGAGGCTCCCCTGTTCCATCACACCTGGAAAATTATGTGAAAACATGAATAACATCATTTTATAGTCCCTTACCATTAAACCT